CAATCAATAAGTTCATTAACCATCACCACACCATCGAAAATATATCGACACGGGATAAAGGCGGTTTGACAACTAGAAATGACATTACCAACCACTTGTTTCAATCTCCCTGCCAAAATCTTGGACATAATCTTGTATACACTAGAAATCAAACATATAGGTTGATATTCACCAAAAGATTGAGGGATCTCAACCTTTATAAAGAGAGAAACAAACGAAGCATACATGGCTTTAGGGAGAATATTTGAAACGTAAAATTCTTGAAGAAAGTTCATAAGATCCTCTTTAAGAAAATCCCACCCTTTCTTGAAAAAATCTAAAGAAAAACCATATGGACCCGGTGTTTTATCCCCGTCACAAACCCATACGACTTCCTTCAATTCCTCAAGAGACAATGGCTTCTATAAAGTAGCCTAATCTTCAATAGATAAAGCTTTAAAAATAATTCTCGTTAACACTTGACGATTCTCAAAGACTTCCTTATAAATCTTCTCGTAGTACTTCTTAATGCACCATTTGACCTCTTGAACTCCCTCCACTATGCCCTCCTCTGTATCAACATGGGTTATGTTCCTCTTTTTGTTACTAGCAGACATCATTCTATGTAAAAACATTGAATTCGTATGTCCCTCTTTGATCCACTTCACCATGGCTTTTTGCCTAAGTAAACCATCTCTCCTTAATAACATATTCCAAAAGAAATTAGTTAAGGTTTTCCGCTTCTCCAATTCTTCTGAGATATAAAGAACATCCCCCATTGACCACTTTTATTCAATTAAGTTAAACTCCAAAACCACATTTTTCTAAGTGTAAATCCACCCATCCATAAACTTCTTTATTCTATCATTTGAGTCTCCCCTTCAACAACTTGAGCTTTTCTTTAAGGATAAAAGCCTTTTTACCCTCCACCTTGATACAATCCCATTCCTTCGCAATGAATTCTAAGAAATTATTTTGATTAAACCAACCTTTAATGAATCTGAAAGGTTTGGGTCCCAAATCAATGATCTAACACTTCAACCACATCGGACAATGGTCTGATACATCCTGCTTCCCTGTTTCCAGCCCAAGAATATTCCACGCATTGACCAAACCAGAGGATACAAGAATTTTGTCCAGCCTACTACTCACGCTGCCATTTGCCTTCCTCCATGTAAATTTACTCCCAACTACCGGTAACTCCACTAAATTCAAATTATCAATAAAGTGAGAAAAATCCTTCATCTCTCTATTACTCCTTTCACCAGCATTCTTAACATTGTTAAAATCTCCCCAATGCACTACTCACCACACCCCATCAAATTCTTCTTATCAATTAATATACTCCATAACCTTCTTTTATAAGAAATCAAACAAGAGGAATAAACGTTAATGAAATAACATACCTTCTCTTTACATAATGTCCACATGCAAACAAAACCTTCACCTTGAAAGCTGAACAAGGGCGAAATACTTCAAATCCTCCAAAGAATTAAAAAAAACCCCGATTGATTAATCAAATATTTTTTCGTCCACTCAACTTCCTTATTACCCCAGATACTCTGAGCTATCACATTATCCATTTTCTTTAATTTCGTCTCCTGTAAAAACCAGATGTCTGATTTCCCACGTCAAATCATTTGCTAAATCCTTTTTCTCTTTAAAGGATTGCCACACCCTCTCATGTTGAATGAAACAATAATCATTGGAAACCCTTGAGTTTTTCCACCCTCTTGACTTTCTCATCTTTATCTCTCTGTTCCATGGATTTGATAAGACTTACATACATTTCGTCTTCCACCCCCATTAATGTCAAGCTCTTTAATTGACTCCCAAATTTCTTGCCCGCCACCTGGTAATTACAATTCACTAAAAATATTAGATCACCTTGCCTTAAATTTGAATCAGTCATTTACTTACAACAAAGAATAGACCCACTAGAGTAAATTTGGGTAGTTTCTGACGACTTAGATGAAGTCGATTTGGTAGCCACCGATAGAGAAAGCGGAAGCAGAGGGAAGAGAGTTCTTTTATGAGGAAAAAGAGCTAGAACCAATAAATTAAGAAATTTATAAAACTACCTTTTCTTCTTAACGGTATTCAGAAATGGATTCTTCGTAATAGGTGTCCCCTTAGGCCTCGATATAAACCCATTCCCAACTGAAACTTTTTTCTTAACGACATTTCTATGTTGGACTTTAGGAATACCCTTTTTACATATTTTACGAACCAACTTGAATGGGCTTGGTCCAGATCCAATCCAGTTGACCCAATAGGAAATAACAGATCATTATCACTCCTGTCTAACTCTTGCAAAAAATAACACTTGCCACTTCTACCAACCACCAACATACCAACTGCCTCAGTCGCCTCTAAATAATTAACAACACCACGAAACACAAAATGAGTTAACTTAGGACTGTTTTCTTTTGCCATGATAACAGGTAAAACCTTGGGAAGTATAAAGTCTACTCCTGCAGATGTACTCTCCACCAAAATTTTTGAATCAGCCCTCGCCAAGTTATCGGTCAAAGAACACCCTAATATCTCTAGCTAAGACTAAGACCCAGCTAGGTTATCATCTTCTTCAGATACTAAAAATTCAAATGAATCCCTCTCTTCACCAGAGTTATCATCATAATCTGGCTCCACTCTGTCTTTATTTTCTTCAATGATCTTCTTATCAGGAACCGCAAGTATCAACAGACCTGCACCGTCCTCCATGATTTTAATACGAAATTCTACTCCATTAATACTGACTCTCATAATCTCATTAATCACCAATGAACAACTGGATCTGATCATGATTCTGGCTACATCAAACTTTGATTTCTTCATCAATTCTTCGTTTGCACATACGTAACAACCAAACGGCTTACATATCAACTCAAAGAAACTCGGAGTCCATGCAAAACATTGAATCCCAAAACACCACAGCCAAGTAACTCTTTTAGAATTTACGTCTTCCTTCTTCCATGATTTGATTTCTTTGAACTATTGATCCAACCAATTTCCACCATCTTCTTGAAGGGCTCGAATCTCCTTTCCTCCACCACTTCGATTAAACATAAATTGGCCCCTAATGATGTGACTTTCAAAGAAAAATAACCTTCCATGCTAAAGAATTGTTGAATGTTATATGACATTCCCGGATTCAACAAAACACCAATAAAAGCCTTCTCAAAACGACATAGTTTTTCCTCCTCCACGATGAAAAACCTGATCTTGTTAGACTCTTCAACAATCTGAGTATAGAAAAGACTTCCCTCCCCCTTAGATTTCACCGCATGAGCATAAGAAAAATTCTTTTTATTATTCTCGAAACCACTCTTGACCTCCTCCCCGGACTCAAACTCCGAGAAAATGCTCTATTTCCCATTGTCATCCGCTTTCTTAGCTGGAGAAACAACAACACATTTCCCTTCTTTAACCCTAGACCTCTGAAACCTAAGAATATTAGCAAATAACTTGTTCTTGCCAAAGAAAATGTTATCCAACTTATAAGCCAAGATTCTGGCATCCTTAATGTTGTTGAACCTCGCGAAATCATATATCCTCCCTCTTTTGTCCCTTCTAGATGGAATGAGCACTTCTTCAATCTCTCCATACTTTTTGAGAACCTCAAACAAATCCCTAGCTTTAAACTCCTTTGGGAACTCTGTAATGAAGAAAGAGAAAACACTCAACTGGCAACCTCCTTCTTCCATCTTATTCTTATAATTCGAAACTCTATTCCAATTGAAGCCCTTCTTACTAAAACTTCCACTCAACCTACCGTTTTTTTGTTGGATACTGAACCCTAGTCTAATCTGACTCCTTGATGTTCTTGTCTTCCTTAATATTCTCCTCTTATTTGTTCTCCTTAGACATTTTTTGCTTTATAAAAGTGTATCTTCATATCAATTATTTTGAAGCTAGACTTTTTCAAATTAATAAAGAATATAGGGTTTTAATTCGAAAACACAAACCAAAATAGTATTTTCGAAAGCATAGTTGACAAACTCAAATTAGCACGATCTTTCAAAAGTTCAAATATGCTACTCTCATCAAAGTGTTTAAAGAAAGTTGTAAATTCAGAAAAGAAATTATCTTTTGAAATTCAAAAAGAAACTTCTTCTTTATTTTAAGGAGTTCATCCAAAATCCTACGTGAGTAAAATTCACATGTACGCACACAGAGAGCCGTCCCCAAAAATTTGGAGGCACTGGTCCAATTTCAAAAACGGGCCTCAATAAAAAAAAGTAATTTTTTTTTTGTAAAATAATTCATTTAAATAGTAAAAATATTAAGTATCATGAATCGATCCATTAACCTTTGAATGAAAACAAAATTTATTTACCATTATGCTAATTAACATACATTATAAATTAAATTCAATAACTAATATTTATATATTTATTTTAGATTTATAATTTATAAAAATCAATTTTAAGGCTCCTATTTTTTAGAGACTCTGGACGGTAGGCTTCCTTGTCCTTGTCCGTGCCAAAGCCGTACCTGGACACACACACACAATCACAATAATACAAAATTTCATAAGTTAGTGAGCTTAGGACTTCCAACTCTTTTAACCTTTAATTCAAAATAACTCAGAAGTTGAGCTTCTTGGAATGATAAAATTTATCACAACAAGAATTTCTTTCTGTTATAGTCTTTCTTTCCCATCTCTACTAGTGGGTGATTAAGTGTTTTCGGTCAAACAAATATACATCAGCATGCAATTGTAAGATCAATTTGGCTATAAAACCTTTTTCCTCAATAATATAATCTATTCTTCAAAAAATAATATTACAACGCTTTATATATGTTAACATTTTTTCAGGACGTATACATACTTTATTTTAACGTTCTTGAGAGAGCTTTTCAAGCTCATCTTCTAAGCAAAAACAAAAACAAAAACCAAACAAAAAGAATTAAGGGGAGATGAATCGACGCAGATCTCGTTTCCATGCATGCACGTGCAACGAGACAAAGAATGAAACCATAACACTAATGATCATTGCGATTAACATGCAGATCAATCAAAAGCCTAATGACCTCAAGCTTAACTCATTGTAACGATGATCCACAACATCCATTTGCTGCAACTTCATTTCGTGATAAAATTGAGCAATAAACTCATCAGCTTTTGCATCAATCATGTCATCACCATCATCCCCATAGCTATTAAAATCCTTATTCACAATCTCTTCCTCTTTCTCCTCCTCCTCCTCGACCATTTCATTTAGCCCCACCGCCGAAGCGTATCGGCTACTGGCCTCAGACACGTAATGGCTCCTTGCTGGAGATGGCGAATACGGATACTCTGATGCAAGAACAAACCCATCCTCCTCACCATGATGATCATTAGCAGTTTCATCAACCACTTTCATATTTTTAAGATTATTCTGACCGTCGAGAATTTGTGGCGGAGATTGGTGGCTTTGAAGATGCATGAGTCTCATGGACGCAACAAGCTTCCTCCACATGCCTTTAGATTCATCATGCACTGGAAGAATCGGTTTTGATGATTTATGAGAACGAGAATGCCCTCGCATCATTAAGAGTGCAACCTTAAAGAAATTCTTTGATCTTTTTTTTGATCGTTGAGCATTTTGATTAAGGGTTGTGTTTGGATTAAAGGTAATGATTGCGTTATCCACCTTTGTCTCCATTGAAATGGTGTTAATTGTGTAAGAACAATTAACGAAAAGTTGAAGAAAAAGGAGGATTGGAATTAAGGATACTAAATCTAATGTGATATGTTAAATTTAATGTGACATTAATCTAATCTCACCCTGCGTTTTCCTGCAAATAGCAGGGCGAGAATTTTAGGGATCTTAATCGATCAAAGTGTGGTGAGAAATTTCGGACACAAAAACAAGTTTTAATAATTATTAATTATTTACTAATAAGAAAATTAGGATAATTGTTTGTTATTTTGGTTTAAGAAACACTAAGACGGCAAAGCATGAATATTTGTACGGTTGATTTGCAGAATAACTATAATCAGAGTCGGATCCAAAAATATTTGTTGGTGGAGCAATTTTTTTTATTATATTCATCAAAATAAAAAAATGTGATGACTCAAACTCAAATCTAAAATTCTACATAAAATATCATCATAATCAAACCACTACGTTATAATATTAAAAATGATATTTTTAAAATTTTCGAAAAAATAATCTGTAATATATAGAACAATGATTTCGTTTTAAAATATAATTTTCTTATAAAAATTAATAATTACGGATTCACAATATATTTTTTTTTTACAAACACCTTCAATCTAACCACGTCAGATGTAAATATTTTAGAAACTAATATATAAAAATGACACTTTTATAATTAATTGCTTAAACAAATTTTGCCGAATCAACACAACAATTAATTTTTATTTTATAATGTGAATATGCTAAATAAGTGTATTTAATTAAATCTAATAATTAAAACTAATATTACTATATTTTATTTTATTAAAACATGATTTACATGGGACAAATTATAAATATTTAGATATTTTTAACCAAGGATTTTTTTCCATTGGGGGCTTGAGCCTCTTAGCATAATATGTACATCTGCCCCTGATTATAGTCTCCTAATGGAGTTTGTTGGATGAATCTAAAGAATGTTAGTACTTAATGGAGCTTTTAAAATGGGCCAATATATATTGGTCCAAAAAATTATAAGGATTGAATTTTAAAATTAAGAGAATTTTTTAAGGTATTTTATGAGTTTTTTTTATCGTGTGATTTTCTATAAAGACTTTTAGATTTCGAAGATATATAAAAAAAGTAACATCGAGATGACTATATTCTTCCACCACAATTTTCTTACACTACTTGTATAACCATGAACATGCTATTAGATGTAATTTCATTTTTAGCTTAGTATAGTCTTTAGCTTAGCTTATGAGGAATTTTAGTTTGTGTTCTTAAACAATTGCATAAGTGATTTTCACATGAAGTTCAAAACAGAATTTCGTAATCATTTTCTATTGAGAAGTTGGTTAGAAGCATTTCTCCCTTCTCTCTTCCATCTTTATCATCTTCATCTTTTTCGTTTTTGTGCACCAACAATTGGTTAATAGAGCTCCGCTTCGGATCCACAGGAAACACGATTGCACGTGAGGCATGTGCGATTAGTTTCATTTCTTGAATTCTCGGTTGAATTTACAATCGAAATTGGAACATAATTACATTTCTTGATTCTGCGGAATTAGTAACACGGGTGTTTGGTGAGATCTTAGTGAATTCTTCCAAAAGATCGAAGATGAACGGTGAAAACGACAACTTAAACATGGAGCTTCTTGTCTTTGGTGGAAAGAACATGAATTTATGTATAATTTAGATGCATGTGTTGTTTGGTGCTCAAGACGTTCTTGATCTCGTCAATGACGGTTACATAGAGGTTGCAACAGATGCAACTGAAGCACAGAGAAACATGTATAGAGAGATGAGGAAGAAAGATCATAAAGCTTTGTTCTCATTCATCAGTGTGTGAGTGTGATGTGTTTGAGAAGATTGTTAAGTCAACAACGACGAAGAATGTGTGGGACACAGTGGTACGATGCTACAGCGGTGATGCATCAGAGAAGAAGGTGAAGCTTCAGTCTCTACATAAGCATCATGATAATCTCAACATGAAGAACAATGAGATGGTACCTGATTACATCTATAGAGTGATTCTGATCACAAATGTGATGAAATCTTGTAGAGAGACTCTCTCTAAACTAGTAATTATTGAAAAGATATTAAGATCTCTTACTTCTCAGTTTGATTACATTATTTTAGCAATTGAACATTCTAAGGATCTGAGCACTATGAGAATTGAAGAGCTGCAAAGTAGTCTAGAGGCACAAGAGTTGCGTCTGAATGAGAGAACCTCTGAGTGAGAGGTAGAGCAGGCTCTGAAGGCATCTTCTGGTATGAAGAATAAGAAACAATCTTTTTCAAAGGCCAAGAAGAGACATGGTAGTTATCAGAAGTCATAAGTCTTCAACTCTGATGAAAAGAAACATCAGAAGGGAAAGGAGAATTTTAACAAGAAGAAGGTTCAATATTATTGTTGTAAGAAGTTTGGTCACTTTGTTGTTGACTGCTGGTCAAACAAGAAAAGGAAATCAGGAGAAGCAAACATATCTAGAGGTGAGTCTGATGATGAACTTGTGTTATTGGTGGATTTTTATCTGATGGTGGATATTTGGTAGACTGGGGGTATATAGACACTGGCTGCTCAAATCACTTAATTGGGAACAAACAATGGCTTATAGATTTTGTCTCTAGAAATAGGACAAAGATAAGATGTGTTGACGATAAGTATTTGAATGCTGAAGGAATGAGAAATGTCAATGTCAGAGTGAAGAATGGCAAAATTGTTCTAATCAAGGATGTTTGGTATGTTCCTGGCATGAAGAGCAATCTGATGAGTATAGGTCAGCTAATTGAGAAGGGTTTCTCAGTTACTATGAAGAACAATCTCTTGAATTTTTATGATTCAGATCAGAAGTTGATTATGCAATCTAAATAGGGAAGAAACAAATCATTCAAGATGAATTTGGAAACAACTGACACTAAATGTCTTAGCGCAAAAGGTGCTAAAGGTGACAGTGAGATGTGGCACAAGAGATTGGGGGATCTGAGTTCTAAGAAGTTTGTATATGACATTCTTAAGATTGTGAAGCCATAGAAGTCATGTGAGATATACATGAAAGGCAAGCAACCAAGATATACATTCTTTGGGAGTAACACATTATGATGTATGTGGACTTTTTGAAGTACCTTCACTTGGAGGAAACAAGTACTTTGTGTCTTTTGTGGATGAGTTCACAAGAATGACACATGTGAAACTCATCAAGTTTAAGCACGAGGTGTTTGCGCAGTTTCAGAAATTCAAGGTGAAGGCTGAAAAACATAGTGGTAAGAAGTTGAAAATTCTCAGAGCTGATGGTGGAGGTAAGTACAACTCTACATAGTTCTGAAGGTTATGTGAGGAGAATGGAATTCAATATAAGGTTACTGCTCCATGCACTCCTCAACACAATGGTCTTACTGAAAGAAGAAATAGAACTTTGCTTGATATGACAAAGAGCATGCTGAAGGAGAAGAATCTTCCTTACACCTTATAGGGATAAGTTGTTGCCATTGCAGCATATGTGCTTAACAGGTGTCCAATCAAGAAGCTAAAGAAAATTACTCTTTTAGAAAAGTGTACATGAGATAAGCAAAGTGTAAGCCATCTGAAGATGTTCAATTATGTTTGTTACAAACATGTTTCAGATGCTAAGAGAAAGAAGTTGGATGAGAGAAGCAGAATTATGTTGCTTGTAGGGTACCGTGGTACATGTGCTTATAAGTTCTATTATCTTATCACTAACAAAGTTGAATCTCATAGAGATTTCTTTGTGAGGAAATCAGAAGTGTGGGATTGGAACAAATCTCAATCCAACTTTGGTGCAATGTTAACACTTGAGTTAACTTCTGAAGATATTTGAAATTTTAAAAGAGAATCTACCTCTGAAGGAGATTCTACTTCTGAAGATGAGTCAGATTCTAAAGGTGACTTTGATGCTGAAGACGAGTCTGATTTTAAATGTGAGTCTGATTCTAACGAAGATCAAGACTCTGATGGTAATCATGCATATGAAGGTGGTTGTGACTCTAAAGGTGGACCAGAATCTGAAGATAGTCTAACATCTGATACCGTTCCAGCATCTAAAGAAGATTCTGAACAAGTTCAGAGACCACAAAGAATCATACAAATACCAAGAAGATTTGCAGAGTTTGACATGTTGTGAGATACTGAGATAAACTCTAAAAGGGAAGTCATTCAATGTGCCATGTTGGTAAACTCTGAACCAGTGAGTACTGAAGAAGCTCTTAACAAGAAAGTATGGCTGAAGGCAATGAAAGAAGAACTTAAGGCTATAGAAAGAAATAAGACATGTGAGTTGACTGAGCTTTCAAGGAACAAGAAATCCATCATCATAAGATGGATTTACAATGTGAAACTAAAGCAACATGGATCAAATAGACAAACACAAAGCAAGTTTAGCAGCTAGAGGATTTTTTATAGAAATCTGGTTTAGGTTACTTTAAAGAGTTTGCACTTGTAACTAGACATGAAACAATCAAATTGGTGATTGTTGTAGCTGCTACTAGAAATTGGTTTCTGATTTATTTAGATGTGAAGTCTCCATTTCTGAATGGTTCTTTACAAGAGGAAGTTTATGTATCACAATCTCTTGGATTTGTGAAAAATAATCAGAAAGGGATGGTGTACAAGTTGAATAAAGTCTTGTATGGACTGAAATAAGCTCCTAGAGTTTTGAATCTAAAAATTGATTCATTTTTAAAGCTTCAAAGATTCAGAAAATGTGAGATGCAATATAGTGTTTATGTTTAACATACATCTAATAGCAATATGATTCTAGTGTGTCTTTATGTTGATGACATATTGCTAACAGAAAGTTGTTTAGAAGAGATAGCTAAGTTCAAGAAGAAGGTGACGACAAATGAGTTTGAGATGAGTGATTTAGGAAATACATATTTCCTAGGGATGAAGATTTTGTACTCTAATAAGGGTATAATCTTGCATTAGCTGAAGTATGAACTTGAGTTTCTGAAGAGATTTGATCTAATAAACCACAAGTCTGCAGTTACACCTTCTGAGACAA